GGTACATATTAAAATTGTAATAAATATTTTTTGTCATAAATTTATATTGAAAGAATAATATTGTCTTTTAATTTATTAATTATTTAATTAAATTTATCAATGTGACAATGATACTAAAATTAATATTAATTTTTACGTTCTTCTATACAAATTAATGATAAAAAGGTGTACATAAAAGAAAAAATTAAAAAGTCTTGGCATTTTAAATATTATAACTTCCTATAAAATTATTTAAATATCCTTAATGAATATTTTTTTATTGATTTACTAAAGGTACTTTAATCTTTTTATTATCATTTATGGTATTTTAATTTATTAATAAAATTTCATATTTATTCCTAATTAAATATCGCTAAAATAAGACTTTTTATTTAATATATATTGTAATTATTTTTTTAAAATAAGGGTTAATAAGAATAAACAATTAAATGATATCTTAAAAATCAAAAGTGAATAATTAAATTTGAACACACTAAATAAAAAATTAAATCTACCAAATTTGAATTAAAAGAAGAATCAATTAGAAAAATAAAGAACATGTTAAAAAAATTTATTAATTAGCACCGACATGGATTATGTCAATAAATCTCACTCTAATTACCATATTACCCATGTTGCTAATTACTGGTTGGGAAGAGTGTGGCTGCCGGTCAATGAATAATAGCAACATAGGTTATATTGTTGATATATAACATTAGCAACGTGGGTTATGTTGCTAATGATTTATCCCACCAGAAAATTTCAGCAACATGGTGCTTGTTTTTTTGAAATTGACTTTTAGGGTCATGTTGCTGAAAGTTGAGGTTCCTTTAACCCACCAAAAACTTTCAGCAACGTGGTGCTTGTTGCTGAAAAGTTAACCTTACTTTTTGGGGGAATTAGGCATCAACAACATGAGTCTTGTCAGTGATATAAATTTTCACCAGCAAGTTATTTCATGTTGCTGAAAGGTAGTTGCTAAAAAAGGGAGTTTTAGTAATAATCCCTTATCCCACTCCATCTGCATACCATGCGACTTGAATTCAATACCTTTTACTTTCAATAGAAGAAGATAATCACTGAACTATTTAGGTTGTTAGCGACTTCCAATAATTAAATGTGTATACAAATCCTGTGTAGGATGGATACCTCCCACTAACGTGAATTAATGGTCTAATTCAATGGTATTTAATTTTATATAAATTTTTTAGATTATGCCTTGAGACAAGCATAAAGTCCTTTTTTTATTTCTCAAGTAAAGCAACTACATTCTATGCGTTTGAAATTAAAACATTATCATTATCTTCAATCTCTATCATAATCATTAATAATTAGAAAGCAAAAGGTTTATTTGACCATTTCACCAATGGGAGTGGACGAAATTTTTTTTTTATGAATGTTGGGGTAGAACTTGAACCCCACACTTATCACTTAGCATGAGATATTCTTTACAAGAGATAGATGGTAACTAGATCACGAGGATGTTCTCAGTGAACCTTTTTTTTTTTTTTTTTTTTTTTGAACATGAGCAACTAGGGGGAGGGGGAAGGGGTGGGATTTGAACCCACACCCTAAGATGATATACCTTTAACAATTATTTTTTTTTAACAGATTGAAATTATTGACATATAATTGAGAGAAAGGGGAAGGAGTTTCGTGAATTTCAAACACGTGACTCATAAGAGATGAATGATTCTAACCCAAAGTTCATACCATTTAGTCGAAGCAGGTTGTTCCAATGGACTAAATTTTTTAATCCACCAATAAAATGAAATTTGCATTAATATTGAGTACAAGTAATACTCCAAATCAAAATAATATCATTGACATATGATGTAGTTATAGTCATCATGAAGATTGAAGAGTACTGCGTGATATTTTGTTGGTCAAATTTGGCAGTTTTGTCTTGCATATCCTTATTCTAAATAAAATAATTAAAAAATGAAAAATAAAATTTTATTTTACAATTTAAATTATATTAAATTGTAAAACGAAAAGTATTAAATAAAGAAAGAGCTATTAATATTAAAAACTTTATTTTCATTCAATAATTAATATAAGATAGTGTCATACAAGTGAGATTGCACCACAATTTATATATATATATATATATATATATGTTTATAGTTAATGAGGATAGCAACAATACGGAGGCACATTAAAAGTCATAAGGTTAGAACATGATTCCTTATCTTTTTTACTACTTTTGGCCAATTTATATAAAATTGGAAGAACAACGGCTCGTTCTGAACTAGTGACATGAACCTTGAATTATGACTATTTACCTCTTGTGGGTTGCATGTTTGAACCCACGGAATCCCTTTCCTCATCTCCTAATTAATATTTGTAAATAATTGTAATTTTTAAAAAATATATATAATTGGAAGAAAATAATTGGTACACAC